ATCCTACAGGGGAGCAACGACACAGGATATGAAACACCATGTAATGCCATGCCTTATAAGGAAACCTGATGAGGTTATATAACATGTTGGCACAAATGACCTACCCAAGAAAAGTGCTCAGGACATAGTAAATGGCATTGTTAACATTGTAAATACAATTCGCAGTGAATTACCTACGACTAAAATTGTGGTTTCAGAAGTGATATTGAGGACTGATTGTTCATCATATAAAGACAAAATAGGTAAGACAAATCATCTACTTCAGAATTATTGTGATGAACAAAATATTGAATTAATTAAACATGGCAACCTACAAACTAAACATTCAAATTCATATGGCATCCACCTTAATAGAGTAGGGACTGCCATTCTTGCCAAAAATATGGTAGAATATTTTAACAATGGTATGAAAAATTGAAATAGTGTGGCTACCAAGTGTAATGAACATCAACATAATTTTGACTATAATAAATCAAGCTATCCTGCTGCTAGACTACAAGGCTTTAAAATTGGCGACTTGAACATAAGAAGTTTACACAAAAATATAGAGCAATTAAGACTTTATTTATTTAATCAGAAACTAGATATACTTAGTATTAACGAAACTATGCTTGATAGTTCCATAACAAACAATGAAATCAACATAAATTGCTATGATTTAGTTAGAAATGACCGAAACCGCAATGGGGGTGGAGTAGCAATATATATTAGAAGTGTAATAAATTATAGAATAAGGGATGATTTGATGAATAATGATCTTGAAACAATCACACTTGAGGTCTCGCCACCTAAATCAAAGGCATTTTTAGTAAACACATGGTATCGTCCACCAAACTCCACTATGGAGTGTTTTGATCTGTATGAAGAGTGTATTATGAAAATGGACTCTGAAAATAAAGAAACTATCTTGGTGGGTGATTTCAATTGTGATTGGAACAAGAAAATTGATAATAATGCCCCAGCACATACAACAAGGTTGGCAGATTTAACGACTACTTTCCAATTTGAGCAACTAATTGAAGAATCCAGCCGAGTAACAGCTATTTCAAGGACACTAATTGACCTTGCTTTTTGTAACAGACCTGAATTAATTACAATGTCAGGTGTACAGCACATTGGAATAAGTGATCACAGTTTAATTTTCATATGTCGCAAATTATCTATCCAAAGCAAAGAGCCCAAAATTATTAAGTCACGCTGCTTTTAGATGATACGCTGCCTTATTAATAGTATACATGCACGTCAATCAAATTGACTTTAGAAATACAGAAAAACAACTCTATATCCTTCAGCATTCCTTCTTAGATATCTTATTTGATATAAAAGAGGACAGGACTTTGGGTCATAAAGTTTATAGAAAACCAACACACACTGACAGATATCAGAATTATAATTAATTTCACCATCCTAGCATTAAAAGGTCGGTATGCAAAACATTAATCAACCGTGCTAAAACAATTTGTGACTCATAGCATTGACTCAGAGTTAATAAAAGTATTTGAAGGATGTTCTACACATGAATGGTTTTCCTAAGAAATTCATGGATCAAGGATGCTATGAATGAACAGCAATTAAGACATAAACAAGACACTGAATATCTATCCTTTGTCTGTTTACCTTATATAGCTATCCTTTGTCTGTTTACCATAACAGCTTCGTATAAAATCATTAGGATTTTAAAAGAAGTTGGAATACAAGTTTACAATTCAGGCAATAACAAATTGTTTCGCGCTTTTTACACGCACAAGGATGACATCGATGAACTTCAGAAACCTGGTGCATGTGTACCGCATTCCATGTGAATGGGTTTGGTTTACATTGGAGAGACCGGTAGATCTCTCTCAATATACGTCTAAAAGAACATAAGACGAACTGCGAGAAAGGTAAACTAGATAAGTCTGCTGTAGCTCGCCATGCGTGGACTTATGATCATCGCATTAAATGGAAAGATGCAGGCATTTTAGCGAATGATAAGTATACCGTCTCTCGTAAAATGAGACAATCTATTGAAATCTGTAAACAGCAAACTATCGCCCAAGAGGGTAAGCCTCTCAATCGTACGTGCCGTGCTCTTTTCAATGTCTGCTAGCTAAATACTTGTCTATCTAGGACACGTGCGATAATTAGAACTATTTCTTTTTCATAATTATTTGGTAATTGAAACCGTTTAATTAATGGCACGAGCAAACAAATCACTACTAGCGTGATATTTAAGTGACGTGTAGATGTATATTCAGGTAATTGCACTGATGAAGGCCCGGGTTAACGGACCAAAGCTTTGCAGTATTAAATACTTACGTGGTGTACCTACAAGCTAAATTACTTATCTCGAGAGATACTTATTCAAAACAAATATATCTATGTATTTCTTTGGACTTCTTCATTTTCTTGCAACCCAACACTTATAATTATTTTACAAAAAATCGTTGCTACTCACTAAGTGGCCGATTACATGGATCGGCCCTGTTTGTCGGGCTGAGATTAGTAAACGATTACATGAGTGGTTTCAGTATGCTATTTTACCACAAATTGTTGGAAACTATTGTGCAAATGTCTGGTTAAGCCTTAGTAATTTCAGCTTTTCCTGGCTAGCCAGATCCATGTAAACGGCCTTTAAGTTTTATTACGCTTTTTTCGATAATTTCATGAACTTGTACCGCTCTAACTTGCAATCATATTGGTAGATTTTTATGTTGAAATATTCCTTTGAAATGAGTTACCAATAACGTTGTTAGTATCGTGAATCCGCCTTTTTTTTTTCAATTTCTTCTGCGAATGTCTTCCGGAATTTGTTTCGGTTTCGAAGTTGTCAATGGCGTTCTCAACGCTCTATCATTCTCAATACAAGCGGATACTTTTGATTTGCAATGTAAGCGGTCAAGCAACTGGTTGCATTTTACCAACATAAAGACATTTAATTACCCTCATGAAGGCCCGGTTTAATGGGCTGAAAGCTTTGCAGTATTAAATACTTGCGGCGTACCTACAAACTAACATGTCGTCATGCATGCAAACGTAAAAGAATATTATAAAAAATTTGCCCAACTTGACTTCTCTCAAAAGAAAATATGCAAATTTAAAAATTTCGCTGGCTAACATTTCTCTGCAGGAGGAAATCTAGCCGAAGCCAACATACCGTGCCAGAATTGTGGCTAATTGCCTATAATTACAAGATAATATTCAAAGAATTCTGGTCATTATAGTTAAATAATGTTGTGAGACTTCGTAATAAATAAGTTTTTTTCTTCGTTCTCTGGTTTCTTGTTTTAAGTTAGCATCGCAGCAGCAATCTACTAACGAATACCACTGACGAAAGCCAAGACAGTCAGCGATGGTGGTAGGTTTGCTGGAATGTAGATTACAAAGATCTTTATTTAACATATCGTCAATGTTGTAGGGTATAAAACCATTCAAGGTAGAAAATTGATCAAATATCCTTGTGTAATATCACAGTAATTTGTTTGAGTGCGACAGTTTTCAGAAGCCATAAGAAATTTTGTGAAATGCAGCGCATTTGTGCGAGGATTGTGTATATATGCATGTCCAGTTACTTAATTCAACACAGACTTTATCGATTGCTACGCCAGACAAATCTCATATGAGTGACTTGGGCAATGTTCACGCTAAACCTAGAAACCTCGATCTTTCCCACCAAAAATCAACCTACAATGGTTATCCTGAGGAAGAGGCGCTAAATTGATGAGATCCTATTCGCAAATTCGCAGCCGTGTCACTGCCGGATGTCATTCGAAAGCGGCTGTTGTTACGGTGATTGAAAATGCATGAATATTTATTCGTAAATGTGTTGTGAATAAGTGATTTTAACCGACGACAAACAGTTCACATATAAAGTCATCTTGTTGACTGCACACACATAGAAATACTCAGTATATCACCTCAGCCAGTGGCGTCGCCATTTAGATAAGTGGGGGGGGGGACTTATTCATAAATTCCTGTTTGACATTATTCATTTCTATTCCGAATTGATTGTTTTAATGGTCTGTGAACATGAATATATGAACATGTCCACCACACTTGTCGACGCTGGCGACGCCACTGCATGACCTCAGCCTCCATGGCATGTTCACGACACTTGATTAAATGGAAACCAGGCAACAAATTATTGCCTATAATAGTTTTGGCCCCACGGTGATGTAGCTAAGACCTAGGTTATACGTCGCATTTAGGTCGTGTTAAATGCAACTCAAACAATTGATAATGAGATGGTAAACCTCATTAAGCCTCGTTATCATCTCATATCTATTGTTTGAATTGCATGCGACTCGACCAAAATGCGACGTTTAACCTTGGCCTAAATTATTCTCAAAAGACGGTTTCGATACTGTCTTGTCACTTTTTAGAATATTTTATTGCAGTAAATGAGTCCATCACACAGGTTATTTCTTCCTCAGAGTGCAGCATAATTTAATTCAATTGTAATTGTTCTGAACATGTCAAGGTGGTTAACGAATTAGAATATCGCTATGTGTTTGCAGTGAACAATGATAATTTACATACAAAGAATAAGGAGTAAACTTCCTGCTTAATGGCGTGGGAAAACGAGTGATGTTTACTTCACTTTTATGACTGTATTTGTTTTTGAAGAACAGAAACATCATACAGCTTTCGAATCATCTGAGTCATTTCATAAATCATTAGCTGAGCTCAGGCTTAGGAAATATTCCGCTTCGTTTGAAATGATGAGGGGTGTTTTTATTGCATGTACAGTGATGACCAGAAAAACCAGGTCAGCCGATTTGATTTTTGTGTTGTACGGCAACCGCGATCATATTTTTTCCCCTTGCGGTCGTCTGCGGTCTCTGCAGTGTAAGGTTATTGCTGGACAGTAATGTATTTCTAGTAAAATTCTGTTATGGGTTACAAAAATTAAATCGAAGTTTGCTTTTTAGGTAAAGCTGTAAAGGTACACGTGCAACGGTCCATTTTCATTTGAAGTCTGAATATATTAATTGTTTAAGAGATAGCCGTTTTGCTCAAAGATGGCGACTTCGTCAAATAAGATGAGAATGTCTGAATCAATGGAAAATGATAATGTTATCATATCCCAGCGTGAGGAGAGCGACCAAACTTTAATTATGGCAGAAAAGAATCGTACAGGAATATCTGGGAAAATAGATGATATATCTGCGTTAGGAAATAAACAATCCAAGCGTGTTGTTAATGAACAAAAAGAAATTGAAGTGGAACTTCAAGGAGAAAACATTGAAAACGAAAAATGTCATGATGGTATGAAATTATAAAACATTAATTTATCTAAGAATCAGACTGGTTTGTATTAATTGACTCTACCGGAATAATTAACAAAACTGCGACGTTTTAAGCAGGAAATACGAACTAAGGTCAACTAACTTCCAAACAAAAGCCCTTATTCGGTTATCGTCTTAATATTAACATGAGAAAATTTCTGGACGCTAATTGATCAAGAGGAGTGCAGTCATTTCACCAATTATACCGGGTGGCGCAAAAAAAAGTTAACCCTGTTTGGTTGAGTATAACTTAAAATTAAAGGAGCTATATATTACACTATAAAGACCCTGGTCAAGGCTGGTCATGTGACATCGCAAAATCTCCCAAAATATGGGAGATTTTTATTTAGCGTTTAGTTTATATCCATGGGAGGAGTGGCAAAGTCGTTATACCATTTCTGCTATTTTTAGCACTTGTCACAATCCAGATGGCTTTGTACTAACGCAACTAAAAATAGCGGTTCACACAATAAACTAAATAAGTACAGCTAATATGCGCAGCAAAAAACTCAAAAGAGCAATAAACCGAATTTAGATTCAAATTGTATGTGTAGACGGTATCATCGTCGATAGAATCGGTTTTAGTATCGTCATAAGTTCAGTTGATATTCAATACAGACACTCGAAGGCCTGTGCTATCCTCTAAATTTGGGCGTTGATGAGCGAATTTAGAGGTCAAATAACAAAAACGACACATGTTATTTCACTTTGCGGAAGAACAGCGCTCAATATTCAGTCCTTAGAAACACGTTGTTTTAACTAAGGTGATCTATGCGCTATTTGTGTCCCACCCATCCCCACACGGGAGAAGCGTAACAAAAGAATCACGTGACCAGCCTTGACCAGGGACTTTCTCGCAGCGTGGGCCGTGGAGCGTAGGTAAAAGAGCCTGGCTTGCGAGGTTGTTGACACACGTGTTCCGCCAAGGCTGATTTTGAACTGTCTAAGTTCGAAACGGCCTTTTGATGTTCTTTTAAACGTGTACCGAACTGGCGTTTTGTTTGACCTACATATTCTTTCTCGCAATCACCACATGGTATAGAGTATACAGCAAGAGTTTTCTGTTTAGTCGCTACGCAATCCTTGGGTTTCGCGAAAATATGTCCTAATGTCTGAAAGGGTTTTAAGGCAACTTTTATACCACAATTATTCAGGATCCTCCTGATTGGTTCTGCAATTCCCTGAATGTATGGAACTATAGCAAAACTTGGTTTTGAAAACAGGTTTCTGGTAACGGCAAGAACCGCTTGAATCATCTACCGAAACTTGCACTTACAGTTCAATGTTATCTTTTTGTTAAATATAGGTAGTGATGTAAAGCAAGAGGCAAGTGGAAGTGCAAACGTCTGTGAAGAAGGAAAACATAAATTTTGGGACGAAATAAGAAAACAAGTTGAATGTGGTGAAAACAAAGAAGATCACTGGCAGAGGACAATTCTTTGGCGTGCTTTTCAGTTTAGTCCAGTAGATCAAAAAATTGCTAAATATTTGGTTGACCATGGAGCAGACATTAATTCCCAAAATGAAGAAGGTGAAACAGTACTGGGGATTGCGACAAGAAATGGTTTACTCGATCTTGTTAAGTATTTTGTTCAATATGGCCCGAAACGAACATTTCCAGATGATTACAGATCTCTTCAGAGTGCAATACAGTCTCAATCATTCGAAATTGTTGAATATTTCGTTAAAAGTGGCGCTAATGTAAACGGAAATGATAGTGATGGGGAAACAGTGCTGCACTATGCTGTTAGCAAAGGTACACTAGAAATGGTGAAATGTCTTGTTGAAAATGGCGCTGATGTAAATGGAAATGATACTGACGGATGGACAGTGCTGCACAATGCTGTTACTGAAGGTAAGCTAGAAATCATAAAATATCTTGTTCAAAATGGCGCTGATGTAAATGGCAAGTATACTGATCGATGGACAGTCTTGCACTATGCTGTTAGCAAAGGTACACTAGAAATGGTAAAATACCTTGTTGAAAATGGCGCTGATGTGAATGGAAAGGATACCAAAGGGTGGACAGTGTTGCACTACGCTGTTACTGAATGTACGATGGATATAGTAAACTACCTGGTTGAAAATGGCGCTGATGTAATTGGTAAGACGACGAACGGGTGGACGGTGCTGCACGATGCTGTTACCAAAGGTACACTAGAAATGGCAGAATATCTTGTTGAAAATGGCGCTGATGTAAATGGAAATGATACTGACGGGTGGACAGTGCTGCACAATGCTGTTACCGAAGGTAAGCTAGAAATCGTAAAATATCTTGTTGAAAATGGCGCTGATGTAAATGGCAAGTATACTGATAGATGGACAGTTTTGCACTATGCTGTTAGCGAAGGTACACTAGAAATGGTAAAATATCTTGTTGAAAATGGGGTTAATGGAAATGGAAATGATACTGACGAGTGGACAGTGCTGCACAATGCCGTTACCGAAGGTAAGCTAGAAATCATAAAATATCTTGTTGAAAATGGCGCTGATGTAAATGGCAAGTATACTGATGGATGGACAGTCTTGCACTATGCTGTTAGCAAAGGTACACTACAAATGGTAAAATATCTTGTTGAAAAGGGCGCTGATGTAAATGGTAAGAATAGTTACGGTAGGACAGTGTTGCATTACGCTGTTACTGAAGGTACGATGGATATAGTAAAATACCTGGTTGAAAATGGCGCTGATGTAATTAGTAAGACGACGAACGGGTGGACAGTGCTGCACTATGCTGTTAGCAAAGGTACACTAGAAATGGTGAAATGTCTTGTTGAAAATGGCGCTGATGTAAATGGAAATGATACTGACGGATGGACAGTGCTGCACAATGCTGTTACTGAAGGTAAGCTAGAAATCATAAAATATCTCGTTGAAAATGGCGCTGATGTAAATGGCAAGTCTACTACCGATGGATGGACAGTCTTGCACTATGCTGTTAGCAAAGGTTCACTAGATATGGTAAAATATCTTGTTCAAAATGGTGCTGATGTAAATGGCAAGTATACTGATGGATGGACAGTCTTACACGATGCTGTTAGCAAAGGTACACTACAAATGGTAAAATATCTTGTTGAAAAGGGCGCTGATGTAAATGGAAATGATACTGACGAGTGGACAGTGCTGCACAATGCTGTTACTGAAGGTAAGCTAGAAATCATAAAATATCTCGTTGAAAATGGCGCTGATGTAAATGGCAAGTCTACTACCGATGGATGGACAGTCTTGCACTATGCTGTTAGCAAAGGTTCACTAGATATGGTAAAATATCTTGTTGAAAAGGGCGCTGATGTAAATGGTGAGAATACTTACAGTAGGACAGTGTTGCACTACGCTGTTACTGGAGGTTCGATGAATATAGTAAAATACCTGGTTGAAAATGGCGCTGATGTGATTGGTAAGACGACGAACGGGTGGACAGTGCTGCACGATGCTGTTACTGAAGGTAAGCTAGATATGGTAAAATACCTTGTTGAAAACGGCGCTGATGTAAATGGCAAGGATACTGATGGGGAGACAGTGCTGCATTTTGCAGTTAGTGAAGGCACGCTAGAAATGGTAAAATATCTTGTTGAAAATGACGCTGATGTAAATGGAATGGATAATAACGGGTGGACAGTGCTGCACAATGCTGTTCTTGAAGGTAAGCTAGAAATCGTAAAATATCTTGTTGAAAATGGCGCCGATGTAAATGGCGAGTATTCTGATGGATGGACAGTATTGCACTATGGTGTTAGTAATGGTGCACTAGAAATGGTAAAATATCTTGTTGAAAAGGGCGCTGATGTAAAAGGTAAAACTACTGACAGAGAGACAGTACTGCACACTGCTGTTACTAAAGGTACGCTGGATTTAGTGAAATACCTTGTTGAAAAAGGCGCTGCTGTGAATGCTCTTTACAGCACGAATACTAACGGGTCAACAGTGCTGCACAGTGCTGTTGCTAAAGGTAAGCCAGAAATAGTGAAATACCTTGTTGAAAACGGCTTTGATGTAAATAGCACGGATATTGATGGGAGGACAGTTCTACACAGTGCTGTTACTGAAAGTAAGCTAGATATGGTAAAATATCTTGTTGAACATGGGGCTGATGTAAATGGCAAGGATATTGATGAATGGAGAGTGCTTCACTGTGCTGTTACTGAAGGTACACTAGAAATGATCAGTTTCCTTGTTGAAAATGGCGCTGATATGAATGGCAAGGATAGTAACGGGTGGACAGTGCTGCACAGTGCTGTTGCTAATGGAGCAACCGAAACGGTAAAATATCTCATTAGAAAGGGCGCTGATGTAAATGGCGAGTATATTGACGGATGGACAGTCTTAGACTATGCTGTTTCTGAAGGTACGCTAGAAATGGTGGAACACCTTGTTGAACAAGGCGCTAATATAAATGGTAAGAATACATACGGTAGGACAGTGTTGCACTACGCTGTTACTGAATGTACGATGGATATAGTAAAATACCTGGTTGAAAATGGCGCTGATATAAATGATAAGAATTCTGACAAGTGGACAGTACTGCACAGTGCTGTTGATAAAGGTACGCTAGATATGGTAAAATACCTCGTTGAAAATGGCGCTGATGTAAATGGAAAGAATACTGATGGGTGGACAGTTCTCCACACTGCTGTTACTAAAGGTAGCCTGGATATCACAAAGCACCTCGTGAAAAATGGCGCTGATGTAAATGGTAAATATACTGACGGTTGGACCGTCCTACACGCCGCTGTAGATACAGGTGAATTAGAAATTCTCCAATATTTAGTTGAACAGGGTGCTGACATAACTCCTAAAAGTAATATCAGCGCTCATTGTCTTGCCACTGACATCATGAGGATGGCTGTTGTGAACAATTCAGTTGCTTTGGTGAAACTCCTCTTGCAAAAGAACATAGTTGTTTCGAGAGCTGGAACATTTCTTGTCGAGGGAAGGCAAATGAGTCTTCTTGAATGGAGTATTTACATTGGTCATGATGAAATTAAAACTATTCTAAAGAGGTCCATAAAACATCGCGAGAAAATTGAGATGTTGAAAACAATGAACCACAACCAGTTAGAAAAGGTAATTTTTGAAATACATAATCATACAGTTGTTTTAATGAGTTTTGCGTATATAATAAAGGTGAAAATGGAGTTCATGATCTACGCTGTCGCACCGCGAAGACGAGCATTTAGATTCCGCAGACAGTTTTCAATATTCGTTTGCACAATATAACTTATTACCAGATTTTGCCCTCTGCATCTAATAACTATCTCTTTCTCCAATAGACTTAAATACCGATTCAGGCTTTTTTCGCAAAGAATCAATTCAAAATTGGCGATGGTTGTGGTGGTTCACGTGTCTATGTTGGTCTCATGAGAGATGGAAGTGAAGTTGCCGTTAAGAGAATCTTGGTGCAAAGTGAGGATAAAACAGTTGAAAACGAAAAGGAAATCATGAGTTTCATTGAGACGGAAAACTGTCCATTTATAGTGAGCTATCGTTATTTTCATTCTGGCGATGACTTCATGTATCTTATTGTTGATCTTTGCGAGGAAAACTTGAGGGAACTTGTTCATGCATGCAGTATTGAGCATCTACAAGAGCATGGTCCACGAATGATTCGGGAAATTCTATCAGGACTTGAATTTCTTCATGGTAAAGGAGTATTGCACAGAGATTTAAAACCTTCAAACGTCCTGGTTGATATCGAAGGTCGCATGAAATTGGCAGACTTTGGAATAAGCCGTGTCCTAGAAGACGATCAAACGACAGTTCAAACATTCGTGAGAGGCACTCCTGGATGGATGCCATCGGAAGTAACTCAAGCCATTGAGAAAAATGAGAAATGTCGTTTCAAAAGGAAATCAGATGTCCAGGTCGCGGGCATGATTGCTTTCTACGTCTTAACTAAAGGTGAACACCCTTTTGGTTCTTCCTTTGATCGAATGAGAAATATTTCGGAAGGGAACTCTGTCAGTTTGAAGAAACTTAGTGATCGCAAAGCTCAAAAGTTTGTGTCGTGGCTGATCAATCATAAAATTGATGAGAGACCTTATGCTCACGAGGCGTTGAGGGATCCTTTCGTTGATGAACATTGACACAGTCGAAATACAGAACTTTTCTACGGAGATGAGACAATTATCGTCGAAATTAATTACGAAGGAGTTTTGTGGACTTGAACATATGATATTTGTCAAGAACATTGTATTCTTTTGTTTTTAAACTTTGAAAAAATGAACGATTAACGTTCAGGTGCCAGGGGGGGGGTAACACTTTTCACACAAAGAAAAAAAATCTGAATGCAAAAACAAAGGCCCATAATAACTGTAATTAAACAAAGACTGAAAACCAATGTAATAATGAAGTTATATCTTGAAATAAACTGTTAAATACTGGATAGTGCCAGAGCAATCATTGTTGTGTGTATTTCAGATCGAGCTTTCTACCATCTGCGACGATATTCACCCCCCTGTCAGAGCCCTGTCCCGTTACTCGCGCGAAATCATTACGGATTGTTTTGAAAGATGCGTGTGCAAATTTTACAAGGTGGTAAAATGCTGTATTTCTCATATTTTATCATCAGCTTTACCATGTTGACCGCTATGGTCAACTTACACTAAAACAGTTTACTTGTCCTAGTGTCCTAAATAAAATGCACGTACACAAACTCATATACATGCAGGTCCTTGACTAATCAGGCGCATCCAGCGTCAGTTGAGTGATATAAAAGGATCTCAAAATGGTTCAAATGGCTGGGATGATGAGATTAATTATTAACATGATAAAATTACTGGATGCTGATTGGTCATGAGCAGTAGTACAGTTATTTCACTGAATTGCACTGATTGATAATTTTTGCCAGAATAAACAAAATGGCGAAAAGTCATTTTGCAAACAAACTAAACAGTCCTAGAGGAAGAAAGCACAGAAAACCAAAAAACTACAAAATAATGATGAAAGTCAAGATGTCAAGCAGGGCTGTATTTTGACAAACGCTTGCATTAAAAACAAAGGGCCATTGACATTTAGAGCTTTTTAAACTATTAACAATAGGGATTTTAAAGTACACATTTTTGCTGTCGTTGAAGCTTTTACTTGAATATATTCATACATACTCAATATCTTGACGTAGTTAGATCCGCGAAAAAAACGTGCCGAAACCTAGAGTTGCTGGTCACCGGTGCCCCAGCGACTAATTACGTATACTAAAGGATCTCGACGGGGCGTTTCAACTGATATTTTATGTTAATAATAAGCAAATATGCATGCGGGATTATTAGGGATGTTTGAAAATTTTGCCAAATCCGACCCGCCCCGGCTTCGTCAGGCAAAGAATACGTATTACTAGAGATTATTTTTGTCCTCAAATTCTCCCAAAATGTACACGTCATGCATACGCCACCATACTTGCTGGAAACATGGCTGCCTGTGATTTCTTACTATTTCTGCCGTTTTAGCAGTAATTTGTTGGTTTTTAATTGATATAACTTAGTAAATTTATTTTCAAATTAATTTTTACCTCGCGAATGCCAAAACATTAGTGAAATAGGTCGCACGGCAGATAGCATAAAAGAAATGACGTAATGACAAATGACGAATATCACGCAATAAACATTCGCCAGCAAGTTATCACTGAGACGGACAATGTCCACCTTATTCATCTATGGCCTGGCTGATCCCGAAATGTACTCGCCATCGCATGATTGATTATCGTTAACAATTTTTATTGGCCAAAAGAAACTTCTAGGACGAACATGCGTTAAGTTGAAGTTAATTTACAAATCAATACAGAGTTAAAAAGTAAATTATATCGTCTGTAGTCTAAACGAAAAGTCTGAAAATGATGTAACTGCAGCAATTGTGTTGACATCGGAAATCTGTGTCCAACAATATACATATTTTCTTTCAATTTCAAACTCAAAATTTTAGGACCACAACATTCTCTGGCTCCTATGGCCAAAAAAACCCGAAACCAGCATACATAATAATTATAGGTATTAGAAATGGTTGCTATATATGGTTAATTTTGCTTTCACTTACACCGTTCCAGTACAAAATATATGAAATCCCAGAGGCACAGAAATGTCAGGTGTATTAAACTTGCCTCAATATTCAATCTGATTACAGTAAATAATATTTCCAACGAATACGCAGCTAACTATTAACGCGGGTTCCTTTTTTCAAGGGAATCCTTGTAGATCTTTGTTTTATGCGGCACTGATCTTGGCCCAATTTATACAAGAGAAAATTGCACCATGCACGCGGGGATGTATTTTTTATGGGGATTTTATTTGACTTGTCTGTATAAAAACACAGTTTTTCACAAACGTTTGTACAGAGGATGTCCAAAGAACTCAAATTATAGTACCTACATATACCAGAAAAATTCTTAACGACGCGCTAGAAGACATATACCACGTGTGGATTTTTTTTTTACATCATGTATAGAAGAATGAAACAAAGAGACGAGATGCGTGAGCGTCACAGACGGCTCTTTCTACAAGGATAAAATGCTAAAAAAATTAATATAAAAAAGACTATCAAGCAACTAATTCTGGCTTCCTATGATTCACTACACATAACATTTTCTCTTTTATTATATTCATTTTGAACTCTATGGTGTTTCTTGCAATCTGATTGGTGACTTTTGATTTCACACCAAATTGCACTCCATTCAGTGCAATTACCATTATTTATTTTCTTTAATCGTCTTCACCATTAAATTCAGCTTTCCGTACAACCTTTCTCATTATTTCCCTAAAAAGGTACAATAACTGACTTGGAAATAAATCCGGATAACACTACGAAAAAGCTCTACGAAAAGACCCTACGAAACGACTATTTATCCATAATTATGAGAGGTTAAGATGCGGGGAGTTAATACTGAGTTGTTCACAGGTTTGCACAGAAAAAATGTTATTTAATAATTTATAAACTGCTTTCCACTGTCACGTTTTTTATACGCATACGTATAAACATCAAATAAATTGAAAGAACTTAGTTTTGCGTATATTTTAGTATGCATTAATTTCTTGACCCAATTTGTGAAATAATAACAATTTGGAAGCATTTAAAATTTTCCGACAGTCAAAAGCAGCCCTAAGTCACAAATTTGCTACAATTCGACAATTATGTAAATGCGTCTGAAAAAATAAACGGTCTCACTCACCTAACCGAGATGAGCGTTTTTTCCTCGCTGTATTCCAACATCTCTGCAATGAAATGAACACAAACAATTAAACTAATAGGAAAGCTTTTAAGGGGCTGTTTACATGAGCCTGGTTACCCGAGATTCAACGAAGCGTGAAAAGACTTTGAGGTATTGAAATACGTCTTTATGACACCGAACAAGCACATGCTATTGTTGTGGTGATTATACGACTGCCAGGATCATGTTATTTGCTCATTTCAATACCTCAAAATCATCTCACGCTTCGCTAAATCTCGGGTAACCGGGGTCATGTAGACAGCCCCTAAGGTGGTTCATAAATATAATGCGGCTCCCAACATTTTTGCCCAAAAATTATTTTGCTATGCACGAAACTGACTCCTGAGTGATATGAAGAGGAAATTTTCGTCAAATATGCGTGATATACTGTTATTGTGGCTGGACAAACATGGTGGAATTTCGTTTTAAAATAATACTTCTTGTAAAATGGTGAATAATGTGTCGTTTTACTGGAAGAAGTCAAAAAATTTTGGCATTCTGATTATGTTACCGAAAATGTAAACAAACTCGCTGATTGGTCTAAAACGAAATTCGCCTGGTTGGCTGGGCAGAGTACACAAGTGGCACTGAAAATCTTTACTTATAGAACTTCTGACATTCATTGGTCGAATAGTAAAAATCGATCGAGAATGATTTTCAACTCGAATTAACTTTTACATCTTAGATGCTAGCGGAGAGAATCAATTTAAAAAAGTTCAATGACACAAATAATGAAAGGTAACTCAGTTAATTACGTCAGTGTTTTTTTACAATCTGTAAAAAGTACCAAGTACTAAATATACTAACTATACTAACATCTAAGCTCTTCATTTCCCCAAACCAAACACTGATTTTAGTCACAGTCACATTTTGTAATCAATTAATCCCGAGTCGGTACGTAGCGCCGTGCGAGGGTACTAATTCCGGTGGGCGATATAGTACACCAGGGTCCAGGGTATTTCGACAGACCATAGTCGACGGTGACGGTCAACGACGGAAAAACACGTAAAATTAATATCTAAGTATTCTACGAAATTCTGAGCGCGCAATGCGTGACGGTAGTTGATTAATAAGCAACTTTGAGTTGCGATATCGCTCTGCTTAGAAACGATTTTGTTTGTAAGAAAACATTGCCGATTCTTTTTACTTCTTTATTAAACTAAATCGCTCCTGAACATGGCGAAATCACAACTAAAATTGGCCTTGATAATCCACACTACGGTCACGCATTGCGCGCTTGAAAGCTATAAGGGTAAAGGTCTATTAGGTTGGAATTCCATTGGAGACAGTACTTAGCTATGTGAAATGTTTATGTTATACTAACCCTCGATAAGTTCAACCTCGCTCACTTGTTGCTCGCCCTCATGGAAATATCTCATTCGAAAGTTCTAAAGAGACGAGATGAGAATATGAGCTGAAGAACCTGCGAGAACGAATGATATAATTGTCTTACGATATCTATTGAGTTTTTTGAGATATATATTGTCGGATTTCACGAAGGACGTTATCAACAGTTCGGTTTTAAATGGTTTATCTTTGACAAGATCGGGGACAAAAGACTGGAGTATCCGTTGTCGTTCTTTCAAAATACTATTTTCCCACACGTATACCTATTTCATACATACATACATACATCGCCTTTATTTAAAACACGGTAAACCATTCAGTAAAATACATGTAAAGATGATAAATTACTCTAAACTATAGTATATAAATTATGTAACGATATATAAAAACTACTGTTCTACCAGGTTGCCGTGTGGGGGTCGGATTAAGCTAAATAGAATTACAATTAATTCTTAGAGATCTTTTAAATGAAGAAAGAGATTCAGAGAGACGCAAGGGCTCAGGCAAGCTATTCCATATTGAAGCTCCACTAAAACTGAAGGA